TGGGGAAGAGGCAAGCCTCCAGGGCCTTCAGCCTCTACGCCAACATCGACATCCTCCGGCCCTACTTCGATGTGGAGCCCGTCCAAGTGCGAGCCAGGTGGGCAGGGCCCGGCCCGAGCCATCTCCACCGGGGGTGGGGGGTGGGCACAGGAGGGGGCAGCGGCTTCTTGCCAAAACTGGTTGTCCCCGCCAGAACAAGCGAGCTGGAGTCACTGCCAGCTTTGCGGAAAGGCTCAGATGTGGGGAAATGCACCACACGTTGTCCTGTGCTCCTGCACTCCTTAGTGAGGTCTCCCAGCTGGGCTGTCCTTGCTGCTTAGGGCAGAAGAAAGGGCTTTGGGGCATCTTCAGCCCTTTAGCACTCAGCCATGTTATGCGGCTTCTGTTGGGTTTGCAACATGTCTGTGTCCACAAAGGCAAAGTTTTGTGAGGCTGAGTGACGAAAGGTGCCTTTCCTTCCTGCTGTTCTGTTGGTGATCTCTCATCCCCGAGTTGCTCCCCCAGCAAAGTTAACCCACTGACAATAAGGCTTTCCTTCTTTAGTTACCTCATGTGACCCTTTAGAAGCAATCTCTGTCCCCCAAAGACTGCAACCACAGCAGAAAATGCTGGTAATAGGTGTAGGGGATCTTTTACTTCTGAAGCACTTTGTTAACCATCCTGTTTTTCTCTCTGCTCCTGATGTCATTTCCTGCTTTGCTGTGGTGCAGACTGCTAGAGTCCATGATTCCTGTGAAGATGATTAATTTCCCACAGGTGAGTTCCCTTGTGCTGAACCAGACTCCATGGCCAAGTGAATGTCCCACAGAAACCTTGTAAATCTAAAGTAGTCCATATTATTAAGGACCTCCGTTTGTTAGGTGTTCATCTCCCTGAATGTGTTGGTAAAGTTTCCTATGGGTATTCCAAACCGCAGTGTGCTACCTTTAGTGCTGGTACAGTTCCAGACCTCTAGGCTCCATGCGTCCCAGACTGCTCACCACGCAACGTATTCTACCTGCCTCACGCCAGCAGTGCCCCTGCTGTTACCTCTCAGGTGGCTGGGTAATAAACTTCACCCAAAGCACTTCTTACACTGGGAGTACTAACCAAGGTTTTCCTGGTCTGTCTCCTATAGAAGATTGCAGGTGAGCTGTATGGACCCCTCATGCTGGTTTTCACGCTGGTGGCTATCCTTTTGCATGGGATGAAGACCTCGGACACTATCATTGTACGTCAAGTCTCAGTGATAAGTTGTGGTTTGACTGGGCTGTGGATTTCTCTAATGGTATCAGAAACAGAGAGGAAACCTCTTCCATGGCTGAATAGTGTCTTGCTGAAAAGCAGATTGATTTGAAGAAGAACCTGTTAGTTTGGGGAAGGGGGGGAAGGATGCTGCTGGGAGACCTGGGGTGTAGGTTATGTGGCACCCTGAAGGCTACTAGCTAGCTATTTGATAATGCCTAAAAAGGCTCTCTGAGGAAGAATTTGAGTACTGGCAGGTGACTTCTTTGAGTCCTCTTCATCCTGACACTGTCTCCACAGAGGGAAGGCACACTGATGGGCACAGCCATCGGCACCTGCTTCGGTTACTGGTTGGGCGTCTCCTCTTTCATCTATTTCCTGGCATATCTGTGCAACGCCCAAATTACGATGGTGCAGATGCTGTCGCTGTTGGTACGTACAGATGGAGCTGCCCCACGATGCAAGTTGGCTGCATGCTGCGTGGCTGCAGCACAAGCTCTTTCCAGAGAATGGAAAAATCCTTGTAAATTGGTGGTCCCAGGTAAATGCACTGGGACAGTCTGGAATTCCACGATGCTTTTCTGACCTACCCCATGCCAGGCACAGCGGTAGCACAAAGAGGCAGTTCCTTCGTGCAGGATTTCTGCTCTCCACTTCGTCCTCTGAGTGCCTGGTGGTAAAAAACCCCATGAGATTCCAGTTTCTGTGGAATCAGAGGCTCTTTCCTTAGTTTGCAAAGTTGTTGCAATCTCTGACATCCCTATGAATCCTTCAGGCAGATGGTCTGCGTCAGCTGCTGTTAAAATTGTTTTGCTGGTTGACTCTTTGGCATTGAACGAGTGGTTTGTGAAGCATTGCAAAAGCAGGCTGCTTGTGCTCTTGATCAACAGCCCTTCTTGTGGGACTGACATTTGTAACGTAGGCATTTTTGTTTTGTCAGGGTTATGGTCTTTTTGGACACTGCATCACTCTCTTTGTCACCTACAATATCCACTTCCACTCCCTCTTCTATATCTTCTGGTTGGTTGTTGGTGGACTCTCTACACTACGAATGGTAAGGGACAGGCAGCCTGGGGCCCTCTTCTGGGGACAAGAAAGGGAGGAAAGTAGTGTTTGCTTTCTGTTCAGTTCATTTCACAGCCAGTCAAGCTTCTGTGAAGAGCAGCCTGATGTTCCCGAGTTGTTTGACCGCTGGTGAATTGTCTCTAATCTCCACCTTTCTCCTAGGTTGCTGTGTTGGTGTCGCGCACCGTGGGACATACCCAGCGGCTTATCCTGTGTGGGACCCTTGCTGCTCTGCATATGCTTTTCCTCCTCTATCTGCACTTTGCTTATCACAAGGTGGTAGAAGGTAAGCAAGGGAAATATGAAGACACATCCTGTTGGGTTTGAAGGAAGACATGCTGCTTTTCGCTCTCTCTGAGAGAAAGGATAGACAGTTTTGGTCTGACTCGAGGGCATCTGTGCTAGTTTCCAGCCAAGAATGACAAGGACTGGCTTTATTAGAGGAAACTGTTTTGAAGTAGGGCAGCAGGGAGATGTGGGCTAGTTTCTGTACACTGCGTTTTAGTACTTAAGACCTAAGTTGGGAGGCAGGACACTTAACTCTCTCCCCACAAGTCTAACAGCACTGACTGTTCTTGCACACAGATGTCCAGTCCCTTCCTGAATCTTGATGAAGTCAGGTTGTTTTCTGTGATTGGGAAATGTGTCATAAAAATTTTTTCTTTTTGGTCTAACATGTTTTTTATCTTGTGATGTACAACACAGATAGCAGAAGCTGCATTTTTCCCAGGTGGTGCTGTTTTACCAGGCTATACATATTCATATCCCCTTTCTGTCTCTTTTCGGTTTTTTTCCTAACAAAGTCTCAATCTCTTTTAGGACAAAAAAAAAAAAAGTCTTACCCAACCCATTGCTACAGAGTTTCCAAATCCCTAAATATGCAATTCTGCAAGTCTCTTAGTGAATTTAGGCAGCCAGACCTGTTCATGATATTTCTGATAAATCTGCATAATTTGGGCTTATAGCGTAGCATTAGAAGTCCTTTTAGATGTAAATACTGTTCTTTCCTGGATTCATTTTTGTCGTGAAGGTTCAGAGCCCTGATCTGCAACTTTTCAGCAGATGAAGTAGGATAAAATATACTCCATGCAATTTTCTTCAAGGCACTCCAAGGCTGATTTTCAGTCTTAGGGTAATTGACAGGGACTTGAGGACGTTTGCATCAGTATGCGTGTTTCCTGCCAAGTATGATCTATGTTTGCATTTGCGTAGTGATAAAAGTTGCCCATTGCACCCCCGACTGCAGTTCCTGATGTGAGTCTCTGAGTGTATTGGGATGAAAGCAAACAATTGGTCTAAGAGCAGGATCTGGGCTGGGCTGAGCTGGGGAGAGCACTGTACCAGTCTGCCTCGGCAGAGCAGCATCCCTGGCAGTGTCTGCATTTGGGTTAAATGTCCAGGGACTGGATCCGGTGCCCTCAAAGTGAAAGGAGCTACGTCCCTCCTGGTAACACGCCATTTCCCTGCCCGAAGGACAAGCTCTGATCTGTGCCCTGTGGCATGGGGAGTGTTTGGGACTGTCTGTTCAGTCTTTGGGGCTAGGTGACTCCTCCCATCGCCTGCAAGTGCTTTGCATGTCCTGGGCTCTGTCACCATCAACCACTACCTGGCCAGAGAGAAAAGCAAGGAGAAATGCATCATATGCACATGAATTAACTCTTGCCACTCTTCCCATTTTTTCTGTTCCCTGCAGGTATCCTGGACACGCTGGAAGGACCCAACATGCTGCCCTTTCAGAGAGTTGCCCGAGACATTCCAGTTGTTTCCAATGCTGTACTGAACACAACAGCCAAAGCCATTGCATTGACCCTGTAGTTTCACGGACTTGCTTCCTTCACTACTTTTGGGGCTGCATAGGGCCATAATAACCTGCTGGCTCTTAGGAACGGGACAGAACAGCAGGAAGAAGGCTCGGGTTTGGTTTCCTGGACCTGTCCTTTAGGTTGCAATTTTGTGCAGCTGTGTGGACTGCACCTCAGTGACTCAGAACTACACCAGGTCCGGGCTGTCTTGAGTGGAGTGGTTCTGTTGCCTGCACGTTTAGCTGGGATTTCCCAGCGCAGTTTGTCCCTTACCCCTCTTTCCGCTTGCTGATGTAACCCTAGGGGTATCTGCCTTGTTCCTGTCCTGAAGAGGGAAGAATTAAATTGATGTTGGTGCTGAATGATGTCTAACTGTGTAATGGAAAAACAGTGTTGGGTCTCTACACCTTTATCTGTCCTGTCCTAGACTCAAAGCAGGATTCTTTGCAATTTTCTGCTGTCCTACATCAAATGTTCTGTGATACATGGCCTGTCCTGGGCACCTCTTCCGTAGCCCAAGAGGCACAGGAACTTTAGGTTCTCTGGAGGTTTTCAGGAGCAGCGTGATGTTTAACCACATGCTCTTCCTCATCATATTCCAGATTGCTCCCTTTCTTTTCACTTGATCCAAGCTGCTGCCTCACCTCACTGTCCCTTCTGTGTATGTCAGAAATGTATCTCTCCTCACGCTTTCACATTGCTCTTTGTTCTTGGTGCCCTTCTGCCCACGTTGCTCTGTGGAACCCGACTTCAGGGGCAGCACGGTCTTGTGTGGATATTTCTGTTAAGAGGGTAGGGCATCCCACCGTTGTGCAGTTTGCTCTCATGTCTCCCAGCCACGGGGCTTCCACCGTACTGCTCTGAGCAGGAGTGGCATCCTGCTTCTCCAGCCACACAGTCTGCTGTGTCCTGTCTGGTTTTTCAAGCTGAGTCTGGGCCTTACTTCTGAAAGGACTCCCGGATCCTTAAGAAGTCTCTCGCAAACCTTTCTTCAGTGTTTTCATTAAACAAAGGGAGAAGTGGGGGCGAGGGTGATGGTAATCGAATTGGCAAATTTATCTCCAGGGTACTGATGCAGGAAAGCTCCAGTAAGGAAGCCTGGCCTTCCTTGTGCGGCAGTAACTCACAGCTGAGTAGTTCAGATTTAGCTTCCCTTCACTGCTCTAACTTGTGCTGGTCTGAGAGTGGAAAGCTATTAGCTAACAACTGGCTTTCACCTTTTATCTCCCTAGAGTTCTGGATGATTGTGGGAGAGAAGCCACCCCTCAGAGAAGTTCATACTTATGCTTGTGCTGAAAAAAAATAAAAAATTATGTTTCTCGGTGTACTCACAGGTTAGCTGTGTGCAAGGCAGACAGCATGTCAGAACTGCACTCTTTGGTCCCTTGCTTACATTAGCGGGAGAGGATGCAGCTGTAATGGTATTCGAACTAGTGCCAAGGTGCAATGAAAGAGAGAAAGACAGTGCCAGCTATTGCTGTCACAATGGTCATCTGCTTCGGTTAAAATAAAAATGTCACCGGATAGGACTTGAGGATTTTCAGTCACAGACCTACTTTCTGCTGTTTGCTTATTCCCGAGTTCATAATTTGTTCCCCTTCTAAAAGCACGAAGCTCATCTGCCAACAAACACATAATAGACACATTCTCTCTTCTCCCACCCCCCCTTAAGAAACTTCTATTGGCTGAAGGACACCACTTGGAGGAAGTAATTTGGGAGAATCAAATTAATTATTTGAGGTAGTAGTGTTCACATTTTTGGACCAACTGAACCACTTTAAACTCCTAGAATTTCTGTTACTTTCAAACTTGACAAAATGGAAGTGTTAAGTTTTTAACGCTGCATGACTCTGGTATTACCCTCTTTATAACTCCATGGGAGGTCAGTTTCTAAGTCGCCCTTCTTGCCCTGGCAGCCTAGAATGGGTCTGTTTCTCTTGGTGCAAACTCCAAGCACAGGCAGGGGGTAAGGAAAGGAGAAAGAGACAATCATCACTAGACTAAGTCCAGCCAAGAAGAAAAGTCGTTCTGCGCCAAACTATCACTGCTGATCTATGGACACAGAGAAGAGCTGTGCTCCCCTCTGGCACCTAGCCACTTAGCTAAACCTGGGGGATGAAGCTCTGTCCTGTGTTTTCACTCAAAGCACTCGAGAGAGCAGTGAACAAACTCTTCGTGCTTCTCCTGCGCAGCTAGTGTGTCATGTCAGCTGGGGACAGAAGACCAGAGCGACAGCCAACCACTCCCTTGGAAGCTCTGGGGCTTGCTCTGCTCCAGTTCTTCAGCCTTGATTAATTCTCTGTGCAGCAGCAGCAGCTGGAAGCTGAACTGTTCTGCACTGCCAGAAATGCAGTGCTCGGCTGAGAGCTTCAGCATCTCCTTCTGCTGACAGAGAGGGATGCACTCTTGCAGGGAAATGCATGCGTGCTGCAGTTCCAGCGAGCATGCTGAGCGTGCAGCCTTAGTAAAGTCCTTGTGGGAGGGCATCCCAGTGCTTACTCAAGTCCTCTAGTTACCAGGACAAGCCATACCGTGCCAGACTATCTCTTGCCTTTGTTTCCTGCCATGGCTCTTGCAAAAAATCTAAAGCAATTTTCTCCCTCCTCCCTTGCAGCAAATCTGAAATAATTTTTCCCCATTGCCTCCCCCCTTTTGAGGAAGGGTAGCTCTGTGAGAACTATGTAAGCTCCTTTTAATTAAATATGAAAGAGATGTACAAAGCTGTCACATTAGAAAGAGGAAGATAAAATGTATATGAAAGCATCTATGGCCTCCTCCTCTCCTCTGCGGTACCTGGGAGTCCAACCCTTCTTACAGTCTATCTTTGTTGCGCCATCACCTTAAGTTGTGTTTTGGAGGGCCAGTAGGTTATTTCTTCTGCAATTTGTTTTTCTTCCTGACTCTAGTCTCACTCTAGCTGCTACCCACCCACCATTTTTCTGTTTATATGTCAGCTCTTAATGGCATCAATCTAGAGAGTAAGCTCTCATTTCTTGTGCCCCCAGTAGGTAAACAAGAAACTACCTTTCTCATACCTGCTTCTCATAACTGCACATGACCAGGAAGCTGTATCTCGTTCTTCACAAAATACTGCTGGCAAATTCCCCTCTGGATAGTCCTTAATTAGGTTCAGGGAGCCAAGACTCTGAAACATCTAGCTCCTGTGCCAGTATTTCCCATGGTATTTGAACATGAAGTGAGGTCAAAAGAAGGCTTGTCTCTGCAATGTGCTCTTGCTCCTGACAACAGGCAGTGAAGAAGCCAGCACTAGAGCACCTTCGTGGATGCTTCAGGGCTGTTAATTGAAGTGGGACGTGTCCCAGGGGCTCTCCTCCAAGTGCCTCTCTAATAATAGCCTGTTTAACAAAACATGGGTTAATTAGTGCCTGGAGGTAACTGTGAGACTGTGAGGTGAGACCAAGTGCAGTCTTCCAGTCGACCTGTATGGATGGGCAGCTAGCATTTCCTCGGCCACCCCTCTCCACCACTCTGACATCCAGCCTCTACTCCTTGCAGCCCTTCAATACAGAAGATCCTGTTCTCACCTGGACCATTTAATATGATTTTAGACATCAGTTGCTCCTTTCTCTTTTTTTTTGAAAGCCATCACCTGTACCACAGCTGGATGCTTGCAGCTGCTGCTCATTTCCCAGTGCAGATGTCATGCCAGGCTGGTGCTCTGCTCACGGCGGGTCTTGCAGGTACAGCACCAAGCCCATGCATCCCTGTGCAACAGGGAGGCAGAGAGAGTCGTGTAGCTAGCTCTAGGCAACAGCAATGGGTTACTCAAAGGGCACGGTGACACCTACACTGTAAGTTAGATGCTGCAGCCAAAGCCTTAAAGCTGACATCTGAGCCCAGCTTGTCATCTGCTGCTCCCCAGTGTCTCATTCAGGACCTAACAAGCAGCCCTCGGCTCAGGTGACCTGCTCCTCCATTTCAGTGGAGAATTGCTTCATGTTCCCCTCTATATCCTATTTTTCCCCTCAACTTTCCATTCCCTCTCTCCTGCCCTGGCCTGCAAGCCAAGCAGCAGAGCCTGCACTTGTCCCAGAGTTACCCACCAGACTGGAATTCACTTGAGCCCTGCTATATGCAGCAGCCAGATTAGTTACGTGCAGAAAGCTGCCTACTTAGGCGGTTTAACCTAATTTCCGCATCACTAGCTTCCCTTCTCAGCTCAGTGGAGCTGAAAGCGCAGGGGCCCTGCTTCATATTTCCTCTCCAAAGGCAGGATTACCCGACAGAGGGAGAGAGGGGCCAAGGGCCCCTGATGGGTCCCTGCCAATTAGCAGGGGGTGAGCTCTGCCCCTCACACCTCGGCTCAGCAGTGGGGACGGGGAATCCAGTGTTGCTTCCCCACCTGCTGCCCCTGAGCACCGGCTCCACAAGCCCGGCGGCCCCAGGAGCGGCTTCACATTGGCCTCGCCACTCAGCCATGGGGCCGAGCTCGCGGTGTCATGGGCTTATGCGGGAGTGCGGCCGGCAGGGAGAGCCCTTCCCATGCGGTTCTCCGACCCGCCCTCCCTCCTGCCCCTCAGCGCTG